GCTCGTCTTCAGCTTCTCATCCCCCAACAGCCTCCCCAGGGCTGCTCTCCAGCCATTCTCCTCCCAGCCTGTGTCTGTGCTGGGGGTTGCCCCGACCCACGGGCAGGACCTTGCCCTTGGCCATGTTGAGCTCCATGAGGTTGGTGTGGTCCCACCTCTCCAGCCTGTCCAGGTCCCTCTGGATGCCATCCCTTCCCTCCAGTGTGTCACCACACCACACAGCTTGGTGTCATCGGCAAACTTGCTGAGGATAAATTTCATTTAATTCTATCAGGGCTTTGTGTTTACTGTCCCTATTCTGATGGCAAATTAATTCGATTCAATTTCAGGGAAGTTTTTTGAAGAAAATAAGAAAAATGTCCTTAAGCTTCAGTGTTTGTACTCTGCAGCATTGACCCTGAAATTCAGAATGCAACATCTTTTTTTTTTCCTTTTTTTTTAGGGAGGGGGGGCACGTCTGAAGCCTCCACTTTTTTTTTCTGAACTGCCAGCTCTAGCACATAGGATTCCCAATCGAGGCAGCGTCCTGGCAGTGAAGGGAATAGTGGCTATACTTTCTTCTTTGACTTGAAACCAAATAGCAAATGTGTATTTACTGCACGTGTTTTTCTGTTTCAGGAAACACTCCCCGGTTTTAAATGGATTGGAAGTAGAGTGAAAGATCTCCTAGATAATGGGAAAGAAGTTCTCTTTGCGTTTGAAGAGTCTATTGGTATGTATGTTAGTATTGCTTTGAAATGCTGAGAACTGTGGGGGGCAATGAAACTGAACCAGGGGTGCTCTTAGTTGGGAAAAGAAACACGCTTTTGCTCTCTGTTCTTGTAGTTACCACTGTTATTCTCTCATCAAATCAGCTCACCAGCTCACGTAATAAATGATCTGTGAATATTTATGATCCAGTCAGATATCTGGTTCTGCTAGCGTTCCTGTGGAGTTTCCTGCTACAAACCTGTTCTGATACAGGTTGAAACTCCTGCGATGCCGGAGCCGAACCACTGTTGCTTTGTGGCCTTTTAGCTGAGATCAGGCATAGGATCTGTTCTTCAGCAGTTTAATATCTCGAAGGTCCTCCCTTTTGTACTCCCGGGGAGGTGGCTTGCCTCAGTCACACTATCCACTGCACCGACACTGCAGTTCCTCCAGGAGCTGTACGCCATCCCCTCTGAAAAAATTAAGAGTTTATTTCATGCTTCAGAACCACATGTGAGGAATTCAGCCATGTGCAGGAATAGCGTTAAATACCTCAGTGG